TCTTGGCCTCGTCTGGTACGGTCATCTCCGTTTATACATACACGAAAAATCTCTCGCATCTGTGTCCCCGCTTTTTTCTGAATCTTTCACTTCAACTTCTCAAACCGGCTCAAACTCTCTCTCTCTCTCTCTCTCTCTCTACTTTCCAAAGGTACTGACTTTATGTTGCTCTGTCTGTGCTTTCGTTTTATGTGAATTATTTTGACCCAATTGTCTTCAATTTGTTTGTAATTATTATGATTATGCACGAAAATCTCTTGAATTATTATGAGGAATCTGAGAAATTCCGATCTGTTTGTGGTTACTTGAAACGAATCACCCAATTCACGTTACTGGTCTGAGTGTTTAAATCGGTTGCAAGATTCTTTGTGTTCATTGATTTTTCAGTTTAGGTTGGATCTCTGTATCCAAATAGGAGATCTATTTAGTTTTATGCATGAATTGGGTAAATCAGATGCTAAAAAGGATAAGATTTTTCTGAGTACAATTGTCTCAATGCAAGCAACTGTTTTGGTGTGCCATTCATGGCTGGAATTTATGTTGTTGTTTTAGTAAGATTTTTGCTTATTGCGTTTGGTTTAGTGTTATAATCAACTGTTGTATGTTCCAGAAAGTATGGCATCCAACAGGGGTCAAGGTGGAATTCAGCAACTGTTGGCTGCAGAACAAGAAGCTCAACACATTGTCAATGCTGCCAGAAGTGGTATGTTTTTCCTCTTAGATTTACTTTTTCTATTATCAGTTTGTTTCTGCATTTTATTCGCAAACTTGATACATGAATTTCTGGGTTTGCATCTTGCAAACAGAAGGGACTTTCTATTTGTTGCATTGTTTATGAGTTGGCCTCTTGTGAAGTTGTGTGGAAGGATGAATTCTTGATTTTAATCGGAGAAGTTTTATGCTTCCAACTTCCCTGTTGGAAGATATTTCTTGTTGTCCATGATGTTGTGTATCACGCATGGTGTTGTCAAAATATGAATCAAAAGCTTTATTTGGGCGAAATCATGTATGAATTTGCAGTCCTAATACGTTTTTTTCAAGGGTTATTAGATTGTACGCCGCGCATGGTGTTGTCAAAATATGAATCAAAAGCTTTATTTGGGCGAAATCATGTATGAATTTGCAGTCCTAATACGTTTTTTTTCAAGGGTTATTAGATTGTACGCCAAAATTTAGCAGTTTGAGTTGCTTCCTAATTTCTTTGGTGGTTGGTTTTCTGTTTTCTGTTGCTAGCAAAAATGGCTAGATTGAAACAAGCTAAAGATGAGGCTGCAAAGGAGATTGCTGAATACCGTGCCCAAATGGAGCTTGAGTTCCAGAAGAAAGTTGCAGCGGTATGTATATTTTGGTGAAAGCTATGCATTGAATGTTCATTAGGTCTGGCATTCTAAGTTTTCCAATGGCTTGGCCATGTCATTTTCATATGTGCCTTGCAATTTCTAGAAATTGAACATACCAATTATAAATATCTCCCCCATAGTCTTTTTAATACCTTAAGCTGTCCCTAGACTTTTGTTGTGGATACATCTGTGCTAATTCTGCCCTTTTGCTCCTGTGTTTTCACACGGCCACCAAGCAGAGCAGTGGAGATTCAGGGGCTAATGTGAAGCGTCTGGAACTTGAAACCGAGCAGAAGATCAAGCACCTCTCGACAGAGGCCGCAAGGATTTCAAGTGATGTTGTGCAAATGCTTCTGAAGCAGGTGACGACGGTGAAGAATTAATCCCACTGATCGCATCGCACAAGTGTAATTCCAGACTCTTGCAAGTATTGTATTCTTTTTGCCTGATTCATCCTGGTCCTTAGACTTGTGGCGTTGTGGTTGTTGCTATCCGGGGATTGGTTATTTTAGTATGTTGTGGATCACTTTGTTCAGCAAATAAGCTTATAATATGTATCATGTTCAGAAAACAATAATGTTGCAGAAATTGTTGGGCCTCTAGGAGTGAAATGCAATGTTTACAATTGTTTATGGAATTCTATGTTATTATTTCGATTAGTGACTTCTAGATGCATGTTCCCCGGTTTGAACTTGTTCTGGATTTATTTTTTTATTTTTTTAGGACCTTTATTAAACTCACATACACTATACGGATGCGAGGACTTGAATCTAGGACTCCAAAACACTAAACTAGTGGGTCATTTGCTGTTCTGAAATTTTATTTCCCATAGTAACTCACGTAGCTTTTCTTTTCTTGAATAATTTCACCAAAGTAGTACTTTTCATCAACAAATTCATAACTTGTTTGAGCCCCAGTTTTTGAATTGAAGGGTTTGCTATATTAACCTTCAAGCTGGCCTATGTTTTGGTATCATTACGACAGGTTCAAAACAGATCCATCCAATCAAGAGGTTATGGCTAACGCCATTGAAGAATGATATGTCGAATCCAACCCGCTATCCCAACTCGAAATCTACCTAACTACACTGAATTATTGCACCAGAAAAGGAATACCAATAAAGTAATGCTTCATAATTCTTTGTGGATAAAGAATATTTGATTACCCAATCACTAAGGCTAAAACTATTGAGCTAGTGAAGTATATTTTCTGTGACTTTGACAGCAAAACAAACTTTTCTCCCCACCCCAATCTTCTCTTCCATTTGCAAAAGAGAATGACGCTTCGTGAGGGCTAGATTAATGAATGTGAGTTCCGTTGTAGAATCCATAATGATTAATGGCTGAAAATCATCACACGCAAAAATGCGACTAATGGTAACACTCCTCTTTGGGTTTTCTTAAGAGATGCAGTAGTTAGGTGCTGGGAATATAGTCACCTTTTTCTTTCTTGTACGGCATTAGAAGCACATAGTTGATTATTAATTTAATACTCTAAATGAAATCTTGGCATTGTGCTAAAGTACACTTAAATCTTAATAAAGAACAACCCATGTAGATCATACAGAGATACAATCTTAACATACTGCAAAATGCAAACAAAGAAAATCTAAGATAAGGTTCAGGTGCATATCTTCCACGGCAGATCACATGGAATGGATGGGTGCCAAAGAAGCAACTAGGTCCCATTCATGTTCACCAAGTAAGCTGCCCCCATTCTCCATGCCCTTTGATTATTTCTTGTATTTTATTATGGATCTTGCTGCTTGAAGACTGTCACAAAATGGGTCATGGCCTAAAATGGGGATAGAGACAATTGCACAGTTAACATGGTGGCATCATTAGCAGGACCCACCATTTCAACCCTACGAAGAAAGATGTTATTTTCAGTATCTAATCGTAATAGCACCGCGAGTTGTTTGTAGTTCACATGTTATGATATAAGTGGATAATAAATTTAAATTTGAATATTATGAATAGTCGCTTACGTACAACATGGTAAAACTCTAGTTTCAATTGTGTTAAAAGACATCCATAAAACTTTTTATTTGAATTCATATGTGAACCTAATAACAGTCGTATATGTGCACACATAAGTAACTATCAATTGTGAATACAATTAAAATCTACAATATATAAATGATCTATAGTTGTTTATGTGCACGTGAGTGACTATCGCAACTATTGAATTGGATTTTTGTATAGAGCAGCAGATCGTTTCAAAGTCACCACCTTACTGCTTACTGTACCAACAACAATAAGTGATTTTGTAACAATAGGATTTGGAGACAAGCCCATTGGGATTGTTTTAACTGAGGCAAGAGGACGCAAATAATGCAGGATAATGCAGGGACTTGAAGCAAGTGGTTTTGACCAGAGACATTAGAGCTGGGGAATTCCAAATAGAGGCCAGACATAGCTGACCTAGCAACCACGTGATATAAGATCACAGTTGAGAATTTCTAGGACATCTTATTTGGCAACAAATGTACCAGCACAAATTACGCTTACAAAAAGCTCCAAATTTTCTGTCCAAAATTTGAACTCTCACTAGGATAAGTTCATTAACACCCCTTTTAATTTGTTTTTATTTTTTAAATATACGCGATATCGGGAGAAAAAGGATTTTTCTCACACACAACACTGTCAAAGTATTATAGTTATTCAAACTCGAGACTATTGATCCGCAAATCAAGACTCTTTTCCACTGTACTAGAACAGTTGGCTTAACACCCTTTTTATTTATTTATCTTGTTCAGGTGATTGGGTTCAATGGAAAAGCACATAGCAATTGGATTAATATAATATCCTTGTCAAGTCGGCCACTTTCTCCATTAGAAATTTGGTATTTTACCATTTAAATTTCTTTCAACCAAACCCACTTTCTTACTCATTGGTACTAGTTATGATTTTTAATAGCAAGCTTTTCAATATGGTCTCATTCAATACATCAAATGCAGATCAAACACGATTTGCACATGTCTATTAGACCATCCATCTTCTTCATTTTTGCATATTATCTTATTTCATGATGTCTTAAAAATTTGTTTCTAAGTGTAATCTTATGTGTATAAGGGGCTTGAACAAGATATTCTTAAACAAGGTTATCTTAGAAGAGTGGAGTCCTCTTACAAAGCAGAAACACAGCAAATGGAACAGGATTGTGCGGTTTTGTGCAATGTGCTTTGCTATCTGACTGATAGTGAAGTGAAGTATCAAGTTATCCATCTAAATAATTTAGTCATGCTTCATATTAAATGCCACCCTTTGAAGAATTAGATCTGGGTTGAATGTTGGTGGCCTAATTATTTTATAAGAGTGATGGTGTGTTTTTATAGAATACTAGAAGCATTGGATGTAGGCCATAGTGGGAAGAGAGAAAATGAAGCACCGAAAAAGAATAGAGTGAAAATGAATAAATGAAAATCATGAAATTTGACCTCAACTATGTCAATATGAAGTATCAAAAAAGTTTTATGGAAAGCGTTGGGCAATGTCGATATCATAGCCGGTATTCGACACTAATATGAAAGTTTCGATTCTAAATCATTGTTGACGATACATATTCGATACGAACATGACAACTCTAAAGAGGTGTTAATAACACGCATTCGAAACTAACATGGCGGATGACAGATTTGTAGCAATTGCTTCATAGATCACCAATTAAACAGCTAGCCCAATTTATATAAAGAAGTCAAGTGATTTCGATAGTCAAAACGCACCTCCCCCCACTTGTTTATGCATGTACCCGACAAAGTGGCAGACTAATCCTAGTTTAACGCTAACACAGTAAGAACACAGACTGATTGAAAACCCAATCTTCAAGCTTTTGAAGTAAACTAAAAGAAAGATGGAGGCAAATAGCATTAAAATATAGTCCGCGCAGTAACTACTTTCAGTACTTGACGTTCTAACGGTCCACAAAAACACTGTAAAAATGGCCGCGACACCCACGTTCTTTCATCGTCACCATCCTCACACTCCCAGCTCTGACTTAACTTCAGCAAAACCAACAACACCATCACAAACACCAACCGCACCATGCAAGCTCACCATCAAACCAGTCCATGCTCGCGCTGATCCAAACCCAGGAAAACCATGCAAACCCACCAAGCCCTTTCTGGGTTCTCTCGCTCTGCACCTCCTCTGCTTCTTCTCCTGCTCTTATGCTCCACAACCGCATCTGGGTTCGGATCAATGGGCCCCATCTCTGCTTCTTTTGGCAAAGATGGCTTTTTTTGTGCCATAGACGCTAGTGGCAAGCAGGACGTGGTTTGCTGGGGAAAGAATAGCTCTTCATCGACTCCATCTTCGGCTTCTTCCTCGGCTTCGGCCTTTCTCAGCAACATTCCAGCGATGGCTGCCCTCTCGGGCGGTGAAGGCTTTCTTTGTGGCATTTTAGCGAACATGTCGCTGGCATATTGTTGGAGCTCCATTGCCCCAGGTATAGATCTCGTACCTCCCATATTCAAGACCACTGCTTATTCTCATATTGCTGCTGGGAAGAACCATGTATGTGCCATTAGAGGGACATATTACTCTGATCATGAGTTTGGTACAGTGGATTGTTGGGAAATTTTTGAAACTTGGAACAAAAGTTTGAGTTCCAAACAGAGTACTCTGTTTTCTGACCAGTCTATTAGCAATCTTGTGTTCAAAAAGGTTGTTTCTGGTGAAGGATTTAGTTGTGGTGGGGTTAGAGATGGAGGACTTATTTGCTGGGGACCCAATTCTTCTAATCTAGGGGTTTCAGGTCCAGTAGATAATTTCACAGCTTTAGCTTCAGGGAGGGCCTCACTTTGTGGGATTTCAGATTTTGGTGAGTTGAAATGTTGGGGTGATACTGATTTGTTAGCTGGTCATCCAAATGAAACCCAGTATGTGTCTCTGGCAGCTGGTGAGCACCATTTTTGTGGGATTCGAGAAGACAATCACGGAATTGAGTGTTGGGGGATCTTTAACTCTTCTTTGATTCCGAAGGCTTCCGGATTCGTGGCGATTACTTCATCGGATTTTACTACATGTGGGATCAGGGAAGATGATTTGGTGATTGATTGCTGGGCTGCTAATGCCTCTTCCTCACCACCCGAGTATGATCCTCCTTTGGAATTGTGCAGTCCAGGTCTTTGCACTCCTGGTTCTTGTGGGGAAGGGAAGTTTGCTTTCAATGCCAGCATTCTTAATGAGGCTGATTTGACAAGCCTGTGTGTTAGGAAAGATCTAACCATTTGTTCACCTTGTGGGTCAAATTGTTCCGAAGGATTCTTCTTGTCTAGTTCATGTACTGAACATACTGACAGAGTGTGCACAGCTTGCTCTCTTTGCCAAAACAGCTCTTGTTGGGATATTTGTGGGCTTCAAAGACCTCCAGAAATGAGGAAGAAGCTTTGGTATCATGTGCGTAAGTTGGTGATCATATTTGGGTCTTCTGCTTTGGGTTTTTTGTTGATATTAGTTAGTTGGTGTCTTCTGCCCCGATTAACAACTTCTCGAGAAGAAGGGAACAAAAAGCAGTTTAAATCTTGCATTGGGAAAGCAGAGTTGGAAGCTGACAATAATGAGGATCCACACCCTCTTCCATCTGTAGTTTCCTGTCCTGGAATGGCTCAAGTTTTCCGACTCTCAGAACTAAAAGATGCCACCAACGGATTCAAAGAGTTCAATGAGCTTGGCAGGGGAAGCTATGGCTTTGTTTACAAAGCTGTGCTTGCAGATGGACAGCAAGTTGCAGTCAAGAGAGCAAATGCTGCCACTATAATTCACACGAACAGTCGGGACTTTGAAATGGAATTAGAGGTCCTTTGCAAAATCCGCCACTGTAATATTGTAAACTTATTGGGTTACTGCTCAGAGATGGGGGAGAGGCTGCTTGTATATGAGTATATGCCCCATGGGACACTTCATGACCATCTCCATGGTGGCCTTTCTGCCCTGAACTGGGTCCTTAGGTTGAAAATTTCAATGCAGGCTGCTAAGGGGCTTGAGTACCTTCACAAGGAATTTGTGCCTCCCATCGTTCATCGGGATGTCAAGACTTCAAACATTCTTTTGGACTCTGAATGGAATGCACGAATCGCAGATTTTGGGCTCCTTACATCTAATGACAAGGATCATAAAGGAGATTTAGAAAGTGATGTCTACAACTTTGGAATAGTATTGCTTGAGATTCTCAGCGGAAGGAAAGCATTCGACAGAGATTACACTCCTCCTAGCATAGTCGAGTGGGCAGTACCTTTAATTAAACAGAACAAGGCAGCTGCCACAATTGATCGTTATGTAGCTCTTCCAAGAAATGTTGAGCCATTGCTTAAGCTTGCTGATATAGCAGGACTGGCTGTAAAGGAAAATCCTACCGAGCGTCCTGCAATGTCGGATATTGCATCTTGGTTGGAGCACATTGTGAAAGATGGTTTGACCTTCTAATTTCTGAACCAGGTCGCCGGATATTCATCAAAGATGAATTGAACAATTTGTGTTACAACTGTTCCCGTAAGTACTGCTCTTCTGCAACTGTACATCTTACGAGCTTCTTGTAAATGAAGTTGGTTTACTCCCTCTTTACTCTTTTTTCTTTGTTTCTGATTTTCACTTAATCCTCACAAAGTGAAGGGAACACTATTTTTGTACCATTCTACATTAGTTTCCACATGAAGCTTTATTTAATAACCTTCCTTCTCATGTAAAGCATTGGAGAGAAATTTTTTTAATGCTTGACCAAGCCTGAGATTCTATCATTTTGTTACAATGATTTCAAGCATCTGAGACCTCATTGCCTTTTGAGTGCTTTGCTATGAAGGTAACAATGTTCTGATTTAGATTTGTCAACAATCACCATCATACTTCTTAGATGTTTTTACTGCAAAAATGCATTTATTGCACAAGAGGGAAATGCTTAATTAATCAATAGTTGAATTACTTGTCAAATATATGCTGTGAGTTTGACATAATTTCTGGTAACTGACATGGAAGTGGTGCAACATTTCGGTGCTCTCATTCGTTCGACGCATGTTTCTTGTAGGCACATGAACACAGAGACCACACACATTACTAATTAAACCAGATGTAGAAGCTAATGCTCCATGCTACCCCCAAAAGGTTCTACTTTAAACATCATCTTTCCTATCGTTGAATATTTTGCTAGCAATTTTAAACAAAACACCTTGTAGAATTAAGAAATGTGAAAACTACAGTGTATTCTGAATTGAATAGATTGAGAGACCAATCTCTGTCTAGCAGTCCCCATTTGAGAAATGGGAATCCAACTCATCCAAGCACTCTAAGACAAATGGGTTTCAGAAGAGAAAGATAACCTTAACTTTATGATGCACAAAAGAACGAAAGACCCCAGAAACTTTATGGTAGCCTCTGAAAGATTTTCAACCTCATCCGTCCCTTTTCCATTTCAGCTTCTGTCTCACTCTCTCCTAGCCCCACATTACTCGTGCAACCTTAACCAAGTTGAAGACAAATAGAAAAGGAAGTACCGGCCGTTCAGATGGAGTGGTTTGTTGAGCCCTGCTTGCTTTATGCAAGATGCCAACTCAAAAGCTAGTTGATTGGTATATGAGCCCTGAGGAAATAGTGGGGAAAAAGTTAAAAGGGAGGTATATGAGGCGTATTTAGTCCCTTATATAAGCTTACTTTATTATGCCTGATTTCACGTATAGAAAATGACATCTACTACTTTTTTTTTTTTGTTTACAGTGGGAGGAAAGAAACCCCCTTGGGGTTTCGAACCTGGGTGTCAAGCACGGGGAAGGGGGAGGCCACCACTTGCACTTGTGGTACTTGCTCTCGACACCTCCACTACTATTTAAGTACTACTTCACATGTATCATACAGCTTTGTGTTCTGTATTACATGTTTATGTTTTGAATACAAGTGATAGTCTAAATTAAAAGAGGGAGATGATTTCTCACAGACACACTAATAAGGTGCCATGGGGTTTGAACCCGAGATCATTGGTCTGCAAGTTAAGGCTTTTTTTCCATTAGGTTAGACCCTATTGAAAGGCTTTGAATATTCTTGATGATTTTCATTTAACAATCGTGTGATAATTATATACAATGCCTTGCTTGGTGTCTACACAAAGGATTTCCTATTCTAGGCAAGAATCAAGTCCTTAAGAGACAAGGAATATATACAGCAAATCTACGAAATAAATACAAATAAAACAGAAAACTAAATCACGTCTCATTTCCCGTTGGCTTGCATCACATATCTATGTGCATGCATATAATGGCATGCCTGGTTCTAGGGATGGCAATTTTCCCCACGAGTAAGGGTCTTCGCGGGGATTCGACCCTAATGGGTCGAGTATGGGGATGGGTACGGGGAATTTTTTGGGTATGGTGTTCAGGGAGGGGGGATGGTATTTTAATCCCCAATCCGAACCCTCCCCGTTTAGAATATATATTAATTTTTTGATGAGGTATATATATATATATGCTATTAAAGTGATTGTACTGACTAAGTTTTATATTTTATATTATTATATTATATACTTATATAATTTATACAAATCTTAAGCCATACTACTTATTTATTTAGTTAACTTTCAATACATATATAAATAGTCTTATATTGTTTTATAAGTATATATTATATATATTCATTATCTTGAATTATTACTTCTTTTTTTCAACAAAATAGTTATATATTGGTTTTTTCTTCCGTAATGGGGCGGGTCAGGGAACCCATTCCCCAACAAAGGTGGGGATGGGGAATCCCCGATATGAATATTGCGGG